GGTCCGGTTTCATAAATAGTGCCTAGTTATTGGTCTAGTTTCAGAAAGTGCCTAGTTCTTGGTCATGTTTCATAAGCAGTGTCTAGTTCTTGACCTAGTTTCATAAATAGTGTATAGTTCAGTTTCATAAATAGTTTCCACCTATTGGTTTAGATTTAGAAATAGTGCCTAATTCTTGGTTTCCTTTCATAAATAGTGTCAACTTATTAGTCCAATTTCATACATAATGTCTACTTATTGGTCTAGTTTCATAAATAGTGTTTGCTTATTGGTCCAGTTCATAAATAGTGTTTACTTATTGGTCAAGTTTTATAAATAGTGTCTAATTCTTGGTTCAATTTCATAAGGTTTGAACCTTAAACACTTTTTAGTCTTGTAAAAGCACCCATTGCGCCTAAAATGATAGATCCATACGTGATTGTTTGGATCAAAACCTTGAGATGATTATGTTCTCAGTAATTAATTTGAAAAGTTGTTTTCAATTACCCAATTAAAATTCCCTCACCTTTTTTACATACCTACAATAATTAAATGTAGCTCTCCATCCAATTTTTGTAGCTTGGTTGTCATCTTGGAGAAATTTTTCCCTATGCTTGTAACACTAGTGGTACACCACGTGTTATTATGTAAGTGGTGGTAAATTTTATTTTATATGGTATTAATTTTTAACACAAAAATCTTATCACTTGTATAGAGACACGTAGTGTACCACCCCGTATTCCAAGCACATTAAAAAATATCTCATCATCTGACTACTATTGAAAAACAATAGCACAAAAATAAAATTGGGATATGTAATTCGATTTGAAGTCGTTTTCTTATTCTAAAAAAAAATCTCTTAATGATAGCTGACAAAGGTAGAAAAAAAAGAATGTGGAAAGGGGAAGGGGGGGGTGGAGGGTATGCGCGCCCAGCAAGTTGTGTTTTTTATTTTTTTTATTCTTATCATTAAATAAAATTAATAGATAATTTGATTCAAATGCAAAAATTTGAAGTCTTTTTCATTAATTTATTCTTTTTTTATTAGGGTTCTAGTGTATTTATAACGTATGTAATTCTGTCTGTTTCATAACCTTCAAGGTTACGTATTTCATACTACATGCACTAAATTTTGTCCAAATTAATTCTTATCCAGATGAAAAGGTTCTACCAATAAGAAGAGAATTATACGCATTAATCTTACCGACCTTTAAGTAGGTAGGAGAGAGAGAGATATATATATATATATGTGTGTGTGTGTGTGTATATATATATATATATTTCTCTCTCTCTCAAGCAGACAGTGAAGTAGGTACGTTAAACTGTTAAAAGTGCATGGAGCTTTCAGTTCAGTTCAGTTCACCCGACCTCAGTTTCCAAAAATTGATAACCACTCATACCAAACTCGCATTGTGATCAAAAGTCATTACGTCAAATATTTGCGTATACTTCCCAATTCCAATGCCTCTAATTGGTTACGTCTCTACTTCGGAGCACATACATATGGGTTCTTCCCAACCTGGATCTGGTCAATTTTCATTATCTCAGTTATTTAAAATACTTATATTTACGTCAAGTTTGACTAGCATTTTGCAAGCAATCCAAGATTCCTAACGCGAGGGTAGTTATACACACACCAAACTCTTTTCTTTTCCCAGAAGTTTTGTTCTCCCAAGTACTAATATGTCAGTGACCGATTTAAAACAGGATTTTACTCGCAGAGTACAAGTTGAATACTATAAGATTATTTTAATCGTAATTAGCCATCCTCACATGGATATTTATAACTAAATATTCATTTGTTAGTCAAATTTATTTTTCAGAAATATGAAGAGGGGCCGCCTTCTAGTTGAACATGCCAAAACGGTAAAGAGAGGGGCGTTGATTTCCACTAGTTCCCAGGTAGGGATTACTCATTAAGATAATATTTTTTTTAATAAAACCTAGCTATATATTGTTCGTTTCTGCATGTATTACTGTTGAAACATAGTTTGTCCCACATCGGACAAAGGACCAAAGATAAAGCAGTTTAAATAGAAATACCCCTCTTTAACTAACATTGAGGCATTTTGTGATAAAACCTCATACCTGAGGATTGAGTAGGTGATAAAGTGAAGACGGTATTAGTGTTGGTGGACCCATTGACCTGAAAAATTCTACAATTACTATTACCATATATATAAACCAAACCTATGCCACATACTTAAAAACTTAGATGATGACTCCAAAATGCTGCCATCACCATCACTAATTCACGATGACATGTTGCTTGACTATAAATCGAGAAGTTTCTAGAGATATGGTTAGGTAGGTAGCTAGAAATCAAGAACTTGTGCACCAAATTCCAATGGAAATGTGAAGTTTACGGATTCCCATTGAATTATATGTAAGCTGTTACAACGTTTTATACAAGAACCATCCTTATCAGTATAAGAGTCCTGAGATAACTATGATACATTTGAATTTCAAACAAACAGCAGAAAGATAAAAAATAAAATAACAACTAATTATCCTTATCAACATTCCCCCGTAAACTTGACTCCGATGAGGAGACTAAGTTTGAACACAACAGTCGGAAGCGTGACTTGGAGAGTCCCTTCGTAAAAATAGTAGCGAGCTGGGAGATAGAAGGTAAATATTAGCGAGCTGAGAGATAGAAGGTAAGAACTGAACCTTGTGAATGCTAGCCGCAACTCGCTCCGGAACAAAATGAAAATCCAAAGAAATGTGTTTGGTGTGAGCATGAAACACGGGATTGACAGCCATGTAAGTGGCACTTAAATTATTATAATGCATCAAAACTGGTTTGGAAACTGGAACATGGAGCTCACGTAACAAACTTAAAATCCATATTGTATCAGCACATGTAAAGGCAAGAGCTCGATATTTAGCCTCGGCACTTGAGCGGGAGACCGTTCGTTGTTTCTTGACACACCAGGAGATCAAAATATTCCCTAAAAATATACAGAAGCCGGTGGTGGAATGGTGAGTGTCAGGGCACCCTGCTCAATCCGCATCAGAATATGCAATAAGGTGGAAGGGTTATGGAGATGGAGACAAGCGAATACCCATACCCAGAGAACCTTTTAGATATCGCAGAATACGTTTCACAACATCCACATGCTCAGAAGTGGGATAACCCATAAATTGAGAAACGTTTTGAACGGCAAATGCAATATCCGGTCGAGTTAACGTCAAGTATTGAAGGCCACCAACAAGTTGACGATAACTAGTGGCATCAGGTAAGGGGGTTCCAGAGTGTGCAGAGAGTTGGTTTTTGGCCGCAATAGGAGTGATGCACGGTTTGCATTCAAGCATGCCACTGTGTTGTAATAGTTCAAGAGTGTACTTGGTATGTGTCAATCGAATTCCCGCTTGTAAGTAGGATACCTCAACACAAAAAAAATAATGCAATTTGCCCAAATCTTTAAGTTCAAATTCAAGTCCCAATGTGTGAATGAAAGATTGAATTAAAGGAGGAGAATTACTAGTCAAAACAATATCGTCCACGTATATGAGAAAGATGAGAATTACTGAACCTTTATGAAAAGTGAACATGGAGTTATCAGCACGACTCTGAACGAAACCAGAGTGTATGAGGAACGTACTGAGACGTTGGAACCAAGCCCGTGGGACTTGCTTGAGCCCATAAATGGCTTTATTTAATTTACACACAAAGTTAGGACGACTAGGATCAATATATCCTCGAGGCTGCGACATGTACACTTCATCCATGAGCGAATCATGAAGGAACGCATTTTTTATGTCTAGTTGATGAAGAGGTCACCCAAAAGAAACGGCAAGACTTAGGACTGTCTGAATTGTAGTTGGTTTGACAACGGGGTTGAAAGTCTCGTAAAAAGCAACCCCTGGTTGCTGGTGAAACTCCTTGGCGACGAGGCGCGCCTTATACCGTTCAATCGATCCATCGGATTTACACTTTAATTTGAAAACCCATTTACACCCCATGGTATTGATGTTATGAATATGAGGCACTAGAGTCCAGGTTCCTTGCTTGAGAAGAGTGTTAAACTCGTCTACCATGGCATGTTGCCAATGTAGAGATCGAGAAGCTTGACTGAAACATGAATTGGATGGCGGGAGGCAAAAAATGAGCGCACCTTGGGCTTAGAAATTCCTGATTTGGATCAAGTGTGTGGACCACGGTGAGGAGACGGCGCATGAAGAGGCACCGCTTCAACATGTGTAGGAGAAAGTGGCGGCAGGGCAACAGCATCTGCAGCTGCAGACTGAGCAGCATCATGAACTGCAGGCTGAGGCATGTCGGGTTGTGGGGCAGCAAGTTGAGAGGTGTTTGTTAGTGGGGCATCAACATAAGGAACTGCAGCATCAATGGGAACAGCAGGAGGAACAGTGACATGAGGAATAAACACCAATTCGGATTCCCTAGCCTTGGAAGAAACACTAAGCTGCTCATAGGGAAACGCATTCTCATAAAAAAGAACATGCCGAGAAACGTAAACTCGGCAAGTGGGTGGGTGTAAGCAGCGATATCCCTTGTACTAAGCACTGTATCCAATAAAAACACAAGACAATGATCTAGGTTGCAACTTGTTAGTTACATAGTCACCAAGAAACGGAAAGCAAGCACAACCAAAAACACGTAGTGCCAAATAATTAGGAGTACGTCCAAATAAACATTGACAAGACGACCTCCAGTTAAGTACAGAGGTGGGCAAGCGATTCATTATATAGACCACAGTAGTGAGAGCCTCAGCTCACTGATTGTGAGGAAGTTGGGCAGTGAGTAATAAAGTGCGACCAATCTCTGTAATATGACGATGTTTGTGTTCTGCAAGACCGTTCTGTTGTGGTGTATGTGGACATGAAAATTGATGATGAATTTGCGCACTTAATTGTTGAAAAGACGAATTATTAAACTCTTTACCCCCATCACTTTGAAAGTGTTTAATAGTTGTTGAGAATTGGGTTTGGACAAGGTTTAGAAAATTACTAAAATGAGTAAAGACTTCAGATTTATACTGCATGGGAAAAATCCATGAAAAACGTGTATACTCATTCATAAATAAAACATAATAACGAAACCCAGAAACAAAAGCTACAAGAGACATCCAAACATCAGAATGAATTAAATCAAATGGAGAATTAGAATAGTGTTCAGACAAATTGAACGACAATCGATGAGACTTTACCAATGCACAATTATTACAAAATTCCTTATTTGAATCTAAAAATTTGGACTCTAACAAATGCCCAGAAGCTAACACACTAAGTACTTGACAAGATGGATGCCCGAGACAACGATGCCATAAGGAAGGCGACGCAAAAACAGACACAAAAGATTCCTTTGAAGTATAATTTCTAGAAGCACGACCAAGTTTAATTGGGTAAAGTTCCTCCTCGCATAGGCCCTGAAAAAAAACAACTCCTGTTTTCAAATCACGAATAACAAATCACCAAGGAAAAAATGTTAAACAAACCAAATTGTCACGAGTAAACTTAGCAACGGACAACAAATTTTTACGGATGGCAGGAACATGTAATACATTATACAAACGAAAAACAAAAGACCCAGACATGAAAGACAGATTACCAGTGTGCACAATGGGGAGAGTTTCACCATTTCCAACTATAACTTGATTTGTGGAGCCATACCCAGTTGTACCAGTCAAGGAACGAGCATCATTAGTCATGTGATGGGCTGCACCTTTGTTTGGAAGCTAAGGCGCATCAGAAGATTGAGCAATGTGCATACCAGCAAACGCATGAGATAACTCATCGTCAGGACGAAGTGTTTGAGGACATTGTGCATCGAGATGGCCGTGTCGGCGACAAATCCAGCAAGGGCCACAAGGAATGGGTGATGGCCCAGGAAGACCAGGAGCAACAAGTCCACGATGAGGGGCCCTATTGTTGTTGTTGATGTTGTTGCGACCATAAACTTGATTTGGTGCGTTTCGACCACCAAAATTGGCACGAGAACCTCGTATCACAGCGGCTCCACCATTCTTACCATTTTACCATTGGTGGTGATCCTCATTGCCACGGTTTCTAGATGTGCCACCACCATTGGTGCGCACAGAATAAAAAGCATGTGGTGCAGGAGAAGTACCCGGAGTCATGGGCAATTGTGATTGAAAAAAAAAAAAGACGAGAGCGCAACTCATTAAACGGAGGGAAATGAGGGAAATTGGGGAGCATAGCAACAAGTACACTGTACTCTGGTCCCAAACTACGAAGCACATACGACACCAAATCTTCATTGGCAACAGGCTGCCCAATCTAAGCCAAGTGATCAGCAAGATTCTTGGCCTGGGCAAGGTACTCAGCAATCGATTTTGGCCCTTTTTGTAGTGAGATCAACTGAAAACGATAATGAGTGGCATTGGCAAGAGAGTGCTGCGAGAAATTCTGCTGAAGGTGCTCCCAAATTTCACGAGAAGTAGACAGCCCAACAGTCAATGAAAGAATGGGCTCAGTAAGAGTTGCTCGAAGCATACTGACGAGTGTTTGATCAGTTTGATACCTTACAAGGTATTCCAGATTAGGCGTTGAAGAGGCCACATGAGATGGAAGAGCGACTGATGAGTCAGACTCTGGAGAAGCCGCAGCAGAAGCATGAGCGGGGAGTAGAGGGGCGGGGCACGGATAGGAACCATCAATAAAATGCCAGTAATTCTGACCAACCAGGAACAGCTTGACTTGACACTCACATTGGAGATGGTTCGTCTCAGAAAGCTTCACCAAGACTAAGGTAGAGATGTTAGGAATGGAAGAGGATGAAGAAGCCGAAGCCGTGAGGATGGAAAAAAAAAAAAAAAAGACTCTTATATAGAATGATTGAAGGCTCGAATACCATGTGAAGTTTACGTATTCTCATTGAATTATAATGTAACCTGTTACAACGTTTTATACAAGAACCATCCTTATCAGTATAAGTCTAAGAGTCCTAAGATAACTATGATACATTTGAATTTCAAACAAACAGCCGAAAGATAGATAATAAAATAACAACTTATTATCCTTATCAACAGGAAAAACCAAGAGTCGGTCCATAGAGACATTTCAGAAACTTTGAAGTTTTTGGAGATGGAACATGTCGTGATATCTCTATGTATATCAACAGAAAACGTACATATAAGAAACTGTGGGTGGCTTAAAATCTACCCAGGATTCCAGCCGGAGAAGTTCTAGTGCTCAAATAATCCAACAATGAAATTAATTAGTAATTAATTTGGTAGTTTGGTATGCCACGGTGGCCAAAACATCATGTATATATCATGCATGCTTATATATATATATATTCTCTACTGGGAGTCCTCAAAGGAGGAATGGGCATACGCTGGTTCGATAAGCCAAGGAAAAACAACCAAATGAATCTACCGGTGTTAAGCATCTAACTGGCATCTTTTTCTAAAGGCTATAAAGACTTTAAAATGAATACCATTGTTCTTTCTTCGTTAGCAAAAGACGGGACTCCCCTGGCAAAGATAGGTGATAAAGTGCTAAGATAAGACGTCAACCACGGGGTTGTTGCGGTTCTAGCTCCCGGCCGATATGGGCTCCCAGAAATTGTTGTCGTTTCAGCCCGTTTCGGTTGAGCGAAGGAACTTCCTAGCTCCGCGCGACTAGCTGATTAGGCTTCCTCTAGAAACAAGTAAACCCGCTCTATGACTACCCAAGAATCCTGTTTTCATTCTTTTTTTGGCACATCCGGACGTTGGAACAAGGCTTAAAAGCGGCATACGCGGGGGTTACCCCATTTGCATTTGCACACCTCCTCCTGAATGAGTTGAGATATCTCCTTTCTTTCAGATGTGTCTACCAATGGTTGGGGACTGGGAGTGGTTTATACTTCATTACAATCATAACCGGGCCAAAGCCAATACACACGGACATCGACGGGCTAAGTGCTAATCTGTGTAACAACGGGTATAGTCGCCGGGTAAGAAAAACTGCCTTATTTGCCAGGGTTGTAGTTCGGACTTTTAGCCGTTGAGCCAGTTTAGCTATCTAAGGTATCCATTGATTTGCTTACTACGGTATCAACAACTGGAATGACAGCCGCTGAGGGCTCGGTTAAGAAGTAGAGTGATCAATATCAGATGTACTTGTTTTGGCTTTTAATTAATTTTTAAAATTCATGGGAAATCCAATTCTTTGTTAACCTCGGCGTGGATGGCTTCCTACTAAATATTCATTCATATTTTATAACCCTAATTTGAATAGAAAGATTAAGGCTCAGATTTGCCAATTGATAGAGAAGCTTGTCCCATCCTAAGCCCAATGTGATCTAAGTAAGACCCTTCGACAGGGCTTCAACGACAAGACAAATATAATTGACTAAGAATAGAAATGCAGGAAGGCTAATCTCTACTTCCTGGCCTTGCTACCACTACCCTACCGTTCAGCAGAAGATGGCCGGGCTGTTCCATTCTCAAACCATTTAGCTAGGGGCGTCACCTCACTCTTTCTTCTTTTTTTCGGTATGCGGTATGCCGCTCCACAAGCAAGGAGCATCCAGCCCATCTTCATCTTGAAAGCTTTAGATCCATCTTGAAAAGTTCTAACGTCAAGACCCCCCCTTCTCTTTTTGGAGAAGATATTTGTTTCCATGAAATCCTGCGGTCATCGGTTTTTTCAGACCAGAGAAAGTTGGACATCAAAAAGAGTTTCTAGTCGTCATGACTCCCTTTGGAAGAGAACAAGCTGCCAGTATTTGAACAGGAATAGAAGATAAGACATCTTTAACAAGTATCAATCTTACTCCAGGTGTGAGTAATCTTCCAACAAAGACTTCTATTTTCCTTCTCACTTTCGGTTCGAAATTTTATTTTAACTTTCCAGAATACAAAAGAGCACCCAGGTAAGTGATTGGGAATCCTTTTGCAAGAGATACCCGAAGTGTTTTGCATCACAATCTTCCTAGCCGCAGTAGTTTTCCTTGAGAGAAACAGAGCACTCTTAGACTTGTTAATGCGCTGACCTGATGAAGCTTCATACTTGTGAAGAAAGCCAAATAGGTTCGAGATAGATCTCTTTGAACCCTTGCAGAAAACAAGAGTATCGTCCGCATATAATATAACAAATGAGTGATGAAGATAGATGATCTGCCACAATTGTTAAATCCCAAAAGTTCTTTTTGGAAGAGAGAAGATAAACCCCTGCTAAGTGCTTCCTCCGAAATAATGAAGAGTCTAGGGTTCCAAACCCTGACGAAGTCCTCTTGAGCCTTATAAAGTAAAGAAACCATGATCCATTGACCAATACAGAAAACTTTTTTTTTCAAACAACTTTTTATGAGTAAAATGTAAGTGTTTGAGAAACCAAACTGACCCATGACTTAAAACAGGAAATCCCATTCCAGACGATCGTATGCTTTCATCATATCAAGTTTGAAGATGATATGCCTCCATACGTGTGCCTATCAATTTTTCTCACAAATGGTTATGTTATCAGATATTAAACGATCTTTAACAAACGCACCTTGCTCTTTAGAGATTATGATAGTAAGAAGTCGACTCAGCCTGTTGGATAGGATCTTCGTGATCACCTTGTAACTAAAGTTACAAAGACTGATTGGCCTGAAATCTGTAAAGAAAGGTGGCTGGAGATTCCTTTTTCGAAATAAAGCAATTGCTGTTGCATTGATCGATCTAGGAATGATACCGCCATAAAAAAAAAAGAAATACAGAACAGCCGCAATCAAATCATTTTTTTTGATGTCCTATACAGTCTGGTAGAAGGTGCCCGAAAATCCATCAGGTTTTGGGGAGCTATGTGGATCTGTCAAGAGAACAGCATCTTTTATGTTTTCTTCCGTCGGAGGTGAACTTAGCATCTCATTTTCCTCAATAGTAACAAGGCTTGGGATGTCTTGTAAGAAGCTATTATCAATGGAGTTGGTTTCAGAAGATAAAACTTACTCAAAAAAACTTCCAACCAGCATCTCCAATTGCATCTTAGTCTTCGACCCATCTTCTAGCTTTATTTTCCGTGTGTCTTCTATGATTATCTTTAGCAACAGTGTGAAAGAACTTAGTGTTCTTATCACCTTCCTGGAGCCACTGAACTCTTGATTTCTGTTTCCAGAAAGTTTCCTCCATGCAAAGCAATCTGTCAAAATCTTCTCGAGCAGCAGTTAAAAAATTGAAGGTAGACTGGTCGATAATATTCTTGAGTCGTCTCTCGCCCAGAGGGAGCTTACCTAAGTTTTCATATAGAAAAAACTTCTATCTGTTCTGCGCTATTCGTTCTTCCGGTTTGTAACTTTGAAACCGGGCGGCAACTGCAAAAGCTGCTTCGGTTTGGGATTAGGAAGGGAGAAGTTTCGACGGCCCTAGCCGAATCCGTACGGCCGGCTGTATCCATCGGGCACCCTTGCCTTTTTTTTGGGGGTCCTCCTAACGCCAGCTGAAGGAGATGGGCCCAGTCCCGTAGAAGGCGAGCTCCATTGGTTGTTGAGGGCCCCGCGTTTGATTGGATGGAGACAGATATATAGAAAGTCTTCAGTGAGGGTGGTTGTAAATCACTAGGTTCAAGGAGTACTAAAAAAAGTGCTAACGGCAGTGGGACGTCTACGGATAATGAGAAGCTTAAAAAATGAAGGAAGAAAGACTTGTTGGGAGAGAAATATGCTATATAAAAGGTGCTTTCAAGCCTGGCTTTGTTGAATTGAAGGGGCCCGCCTCACCTCTCCCCTTCCCCACGAACTCCCGAGTGGGCCCTAAACGATTTCTACGCTTTCCGAAAAAAATATCTAAAATCATTAAGGGGAAAATACGCCTCCACAATTGAACGAAACGTGGAGGATGTGGGTCCTTTCTCTTTTAGATCTTTGATCATATTGTTTAATTGTTCTATTTCCTTTTTGTCGATCATGAGGATATCTTTAGGCCGGTTATCGCCGCGCCTAAAGGACTCCTCAATGTGTGTGTGTGTGTGTGTGTGTGTGTGTGTGTGTGTGTGTGTGTGTGTGTGTGTGTGTGTGTGTGTGTGTGTGTGTGTGTGTGTGTGTGTGTGTGTGTGTGTGTGTCTATATATATATATATATATGATATGTAAGCTACATCACTGATGTCGAAGAGTGATGATGATGCCACAGAAATGTTTGAACAACAGAGTTACCTGATTTGCTCTACAATTACTCTATATAAACCTTTGCCCCTTAGGAATTGAAAAGGGCATAGATGCCGACCAAAAGGGCCGGTCCAGAGATTTTTGAGGCCCAGGGCGGCATTAAAAAATGTGCCTTCACTTTATATAAGAAAATTATTTGTTTTCACATTTAAGACATCAATAAAATTATACTTTGAAAAACACTTCAAACTTAATAATTTATAAACACGGAAAAACTAATTTATTTTGTATCGTGAGAAGAGGACGTGAAGAGGACGTGTACGAGTGAAGAGATAGATATAGATTTAGATCACTTACAAATTAATAGTTAAATACCTTTACCAACAATACTATATGTTCTAACAAATTATTGGATACGCATCTGCATTATTGTCGATACATTTTATATATCTAGAAGTTTCCAGAGCAATGTCTCTTCTGAAACTTCTAGAATTGGGAATCGTTTCTCATGTCCAGCATGCATCAAGCAAATCCGAAAACAATTAAAATAACTGAAAATATAACTTTAGTTCTTAAAATTTAATTTTTTCCACATAAAACTCGATATAAGTTTTTTATTCGAGTAAAACTCATTTACTAGATTCCACATCAGCAAATTCATTAATTATGTTTGACTTAACACATTTAAATTTTTTTAAATGCCTAAAATACCCCTATTTGAATATTTAATGTACACAATTAATGATATACGAATTATAAGAGAAAATTAATAATTTTATTAAAAAAACATTTATTATAAATTTA